CCTGCGTTGCCGCTACTCAGTTAGTGTGCCTGGCATCGCAAGCGCAGTGCGACGGGTAAAGTTTTTATGAAAGCACGCTGCATGTTGACTAGTAGCTAGAACAAATTATTTCTAGTCAAAGCTCTTCAAGCATGTGATTTAGGACTAATCAGTTAAACGCCATGTTTTAGTTTCAGTATCTATAGTACAGCAACATGATACCCGCGCTTTGAAAGACATGCTGACAGAAGTTACCCGGGTGTTACCAGTGATCCTTACCATTGACATACTCGGTTCAGACAGATACCTTACCTCAGCGTTGATGCTGGGAGGTAGAATCTTTGTCCAAGCAGGAGCTCTTTTTTTCGTTTGCCCTTCCCTGAAGTGGAGCATTTTACCCCTTGCTACCAGGCAGACCTCACAGTGCATGGCAGGGGTCAGCACTCTCACAGTCTGGCAGGACCCTGGGCTGTGGGATGATTTCTTTCTCTCTCTAAGGCTGGATGTGCAACTTTCCAGAAGTCAACTGTATTTTAAACTAAGTGAAGGAAAAATAAAGCGGAAAAATAATTACAAATGAGGCTTGAAAAATCCACTTTACAATGTCTTAATTCAGATTTGGTTTTTGCTTTGTTACCTCGCACAGAACACAGCTGCATCTCATGTTACTTATGTTCATTCTGTACCTCTTACCTCTTCTGTTCTCCATGCTGTATTTTTCTTTTTCTGTGAGATACTGGTTTTCCCTTTGTTTTATGGCTGTTATTATTCAGGGAGCGTAGATATTTCTAATCTTCACGCTTTCAGTTGGCTAAACTGGTGTCAGGTGACAAATGTCTCCCTTTTTATTCCCGCCATATTTCATAAAGAAAAAGGCTTTTATTACAGCCTTTCAGAGAATGGGAAAGCAGGCATGAGAAAGCAGCATAGAAGTTCTAGTCGTTAAGACTGCAGCACAGTATATTCATTTACATGTTCCAAACTACTGTGTATGATTTGGGGTGAATAAGAAAGACCCGATTCTGGGAGGAACTGCAAACCTTGTTTTTTTGTGGTGCTTGGCGGAAGCCAAGGTTTCACTCCACAAATATTGACGGAGCTGCCTCCTGTGCACACAGCGAGTGGTAACCATTCCGTGTCATGCGATGCCATCTGCCTGCTTCCCTGCTGCAGCGTAAAACAAATGTCATGTGCAGCTGAGCAAGTTGCTCTTCATATATTGTAGCAGGGCGTTTCTGGTTTTGTTCTGAAAGAAAGGAGATTGAGGTACAGAAAGAGCAATGGGTGAGTGATTGCTAGTGAACTTTTAGCTGGAGTAGTGTACATTTTTAAAGGGAGTAGGATGAGATCGTTTTGTCTATTTATCTATCTATACATATACAGGTAGAGCTATAGCTACAGCTCAAAAACACCTATGTAAAGACTATTTTTTACATTGAGATCGTAATGAAAAAGAGACACGAGTTAGATCCTGACAGGTTGTCAAGTGTGATATACCTGGAATTTGAGTGGGCTCTTTTTTCAGTTGTGGGGGGGAAATGGAAAATGAGTTATCCAGAAAACTAAGGATGAAGAAGTGATAGAGTGCTTGGGTGTATATTGGGTGTGCAGTAAATACACTCTAGTCAGAGAGGGGGGAAAAGCTTGAACTTTTGGAGACTGTAATAGAAAGCTAACAGGAGAATTCACGTCTTCCATAAGCTTAAGAGCTGTGGGTGAGGAAATTCCACTCAGTTGTGTTATGATGTCTAGGTCAGAAAATATATAGGCATGGAAGTACACATGAAGGACAATAAAGAAATGGCGTCATTTCTTTTGGGTTTTTTTTGGCTCATTTCTCGCAGTAAGTTGTATCATTTGAGCCTGTCTTCATTATTTCATTCATTTTTCAGCTTCTAAGGTTGGTGGTACTTAGTGCATCCAGGAGATGCTTGTTTCTTCATTCCCCAGAGAAGTCCGCTGTACCCAGCAGAACCTAAAGGGCTGACCAGGGAACCTTAACCTTGACTGGCTCTTCTGACATTGGTTAGTACACCAGCTGATGTGTCCGTGCAAACACAAAATGTGACTTTACCTCCCACAAAATGAACAGTGGGTTGGTTTTCCACCTAATTTGAAATATGCACTCTTTGTAATACCTCTTATTAAAGCAAGTAATACTACTTGATGTGGGCGTCCCAGAACAGAAACAAGTTTATTTGAAAGCATAGACATAGAGGAGGCTGGAATCAGTTTAGGTTTAACTGCAGCTCAGAGTCAGATCTGAAAATTCTTGTCTCTTTTCATGCTTTCATAGTATTTTTTATTCTGTAAGGACAGCTGAGACTCTGAGTAGCTCACTGATGTATTGCATTAAATGGGCCACTGAATCTTAAAATATGCCTTAATGTATTTGGATGTGTGAGATTCTGTATTTCTAAAAAGAGACGATGTAAAACTAACTTTTTTTTTTCTTCATATTTTTTAGGCTTCTTCTATAAAATGGGAATACTTATTGCAGTTCTTGGGATCTGGTTCAGCTCTTCACTTGTAAAAGGAGATTCTAAGGCTGTGACAACATCTCTAACTACAAAGTGGTCTTCAACTCCTTTATTACTTGAAACAAGGTAAGCACATTGTGATTTTTTTTTTTGTGTGTGTTGACAAATCAGAATATGCTTAAAGGATAAAGTAATGTGTTCTCTTTTTCATTTGTTTTGTGGTGCTTTGGTTTCTGGTCATTACTAACTCATTGGCAGTAATAACAGTTAGTTGAACACAATCATTGCTGTGCTTGGGGAGATGCGATGAGTATTTTTAAAGGAGGTAGTAGTGGTTTTTTGCATGGTTAATGCTTTCATTATGCATTAGAACAAACATTAATAACAATGAATAATTCCATAGTAAGTATTTTTTGCCTTATGAAGTTTTACTTAAAGCACTAGATAGAGAGGTTTAGCATGGTCTGGTAAGATTCCATAGTAAAAGATTTTTGACTTCAATGATGACTGTAGGTTTTGATACGTATCTGTTGCTTCTATATGTTTAGTTCAGTTAAGCTCGAGATTAACTTTGCTCATGTGAGTTGTGGATTGATTATCTAAAGTCAACTGCTGTGTTAAGAGTTGTGCAAGTCAGCCTGGGCAGATTTCTTCTACGGTATTAAAGACTTTTTTATAGATGCTATTTAAAAAGAAAAAAGAAAGCAAAATGCTGTCTTTTCAGTGCTAGTCTGCTTAGCACTTTAGAAGTCCCCATCATTTCATTTTGCAGTATTGTAATTTGGAGATGCCTATGCAAAACAGGACTTTTAGATTTTTGTGTAAGAGTGTGTGTGTGTTTAATTTTGTATCGCTTAAGGGTGTTGCCGTACGTGGAATTCTGCCCGTACCGCAATGGATTCTCATGAAAACAGTTGAGCATTGATGGGTTTCATTCAGATGCGCATGGCTTTGGGTGATAGGACAGATGTGCCCTAGGTGAAATTACTTCTCTGTAACCTACTCTATAGAGGCTGAAGTTTGAAGACTGAAAGATCCTTAAGCAGTCAAATGCAAAGCTGAGGTGTTAATGCCAGGATTTAAATACCCTGACAATGTGAAACACTTGCTGGGGAAAAGCTCACCCTAACAGACTGTGAAATAGTAAGCAAATAATCAAAATAATGTGCCTAAGGCTTGTTATATAACCTAACCATTCTATTCAAATATTTAGGGTAGGTAGGATTGTTCATCCGGGATGAATTGCAGCATGATACAGCACTGCAGTGTAAAACCATTCCTATTACTTAGCCAAGCACTGCAATTGGTTACCCAGTTGTTCAAGAAGTACTCACCACCTTAGGTCAGAACAGACTGAAATGAATACACAAGCTACTGTGGCAGCCAGTGGGCTGAATCTTCTGTTGTAGCGTCCTTCAGCATGTCAGGCATGTTACAAGTTTAGACACGATAAAGTATTTGTTGTTAGCAATGTTCAGAGAATTATTTTGCTATCTAACATTGTATACCTACATAATCATATGCTTAATATATGGGGAATTACAACATCATGATTTGAAGCTGTGACTTCTCGTTTTGCTCATTTAAAAACAAACAAACAAAAAAACCCCAGCAGAGCTTGTAGTTCCAACAAACTGGTTTGTTACAGCAAGGTAAACAAAAATGTATGTTTCTTGTAAAAGACAGCTAGCAAAGAAATGCATTAGGGAGGAGAGCTCCCAAGATGTACACTGATGTCTGTTAGTGGTCTTTGAGAGGTTAACAGGTGCTTTACAAGCTTCTTTCATGTACTGTGTGTTTGTCCTGGCCTGCAAATATAATTTGCTTGGGTTGGTTTGGTTTTTAGCTTTCCTGGTCTGCTTTTTCTAGTAACATATGGTTTTCTGAGATAGGTAAACATATAGTAGGAGCTAACTTTCTGTAAAGCTTTACAAAGTATTAGAATTGTAATTTGAGAGAAAATTCATAGATCTAGCTAACTCTTCTCTTCTCTTAGTGAATTTTTATCAGAAGAAGGTCAAGAAAAATTCTGGAATTTCGTTGAAGCCAGTCAAAATATTAAGACATCTGAACATGATGGTGAGTTTTCATAATCTTCTTCTTGATGATGACTGATAGTTGACATGGTTGAAAAATAAACCACAATGTTTCGTCTTCCGTTGCGTTAGTATTCTAAAAGTCAAATGAGGACTGATTTCAGTAATATTTTTACTGCAAAGTGCTTAAGGCTTTTGGATATCTGTTTGACAAAAGCTGTAATGGGCGAGTCTGAAACACGTTTTGCTTGCCAGTTTCTGTTTCAACATGATGTGTAAAATACTATAAATGCTTTTTCTCCGTGTTTCTATTTCTTAACTGAAATTAAATGGGAGCTCTTAACTATTTCCCTCCTCCCCAAGTCTATGTTTGCATCCTCAGGAATGTATTTAAAGTGTACTCTCACGGATCTCTACTGAAGTTCACTCTCATCCATCTGTAGAACTGGCTGTAATGAAAATTGAGGAGGAACAGTCATGTGCATATTTACAATTAATGTCATGGGCTTCTGTTAGTATAAATCACAACTAAGATGAAAAGCCCCGCTTCAATGAGAATATGGTATAGAATGATAACTGCTTGTACTTTCACTTTGCAGGTAGCGATTATTCCTCTTACCATGAAATGCTGAAAGTAGCCTGCCAGACTCTGTCACCTTTGCAGCAGAATTTGTTGAAATTTTCCTTGTCTTTACGCTCTTACTCTGCAACAGTTCAAGCTTTTCAACAGGTTAGTACAGGAAATCCTCAAATGATTTGTAGAGCATTACCGAAGGCCCAGGAAGGAGCGCGCTGTGTAAGGAGACATTTGAGAGTATAAAAAAATCTTGAACTGATAAAGTGCTCCATACATCCGAGCTGAAGAGCATAAGTGTATACTAATTTCATTGAGCACCAAATTTGAGTCCATCTGTCTAGGGTAGACTAAAGAATTGGGATTTTGACATGTCTGCATATCTTTGATGCCTGCTGCACTAATAATTGTGTGAAGATTTTTGTGAGGAAAATCTCTATGGCTCCATTGGGACTTGTGATGCTGCTGCTGTTCCCGTTATTTGGTTCTACTTACTTGAAGACAGTAATCCATGAATATATAGCTCTAATGATTAGAACCCATAAATGGAAGTTCGTTGTACTCTCTGTTCTTTTTCAATCTCGGAGTATCATATACTTCATTGCAAATTGTATCATATTATAATGTGCTTTATTTAAGTAATACTAGAAGATATCTTCCTTTTTCACCTGGAATCATTTTATCATTTGATGTTTAACAAATATAGAGGTTTCTAGTGTGTAATGCAAAAAAAACCTCAACCAAAAACCCTACAATTGCAAGCCTCACTTTTTGTACCTGGAACTAATATTACAGCTAACAGTAATAGACTAGAAAAATATTTGTAGTAAGTTAAGACTTTACTCTCAATTTTGCAATTTTTACCTTGCATTTAAATTATTTTTACCTTGCATTTAAGTTATGCAATAAACAGGGAAGAAGTACTAGTTTAGAATTCAGGAAATTGAAGAAGACCGATTGCTGCAGAGCTATGCTGTTATCATTTCACTTGTTCTAAGGGCAAACATTTAACCTACTTCATTACAAATATTTTAATACAGATAGCAGCAGATGAACCTCCACCAAAGGGCTGTACCCTGTTTTTTGCTGTGCACGGGGAGAAGACATGTGAATTTGACTCTCTTGGAAACCTTTTAAAGACAGCTTCAGAAAGGTATTTGCTTACTTTCCTGTCATTGGATTAGCTCTTAAAATTTAACCTAGTTAGACTTACTGCTGTAAAGAGATTGTAATAAACCGGTAGTTCCTACATTCTTCGGTGTTGGTTTATACTGCCCATTGCTTGCACAGAAGTGGCAGTCTCTTACTTCTTATTACTCCAGATTGGAATGATTGTTTTCTTATCCCTTGCTCTTTGATAATTCTGCTAGGAGGACGAATGTGCCCAGGAAAAGTTGGAAACAATTTGTTGAAGGACAAAGTAGGAATTGTCAGGAATAGGTACAGCCTTTAGTACTTAGAATAGAAAGTGCTGGGCTGTGTATTAAAATGATAGTGAATATAACAGAGATCGTTTCATGAATGGCTTGAAGCATGCACAGTATTTTTTTTTCCCCCTGTATCATTTTCTCAGCATTAACAAAGAGAACTATTACCACATCATATATTTCAAATTCAGATTTCTTTACAAAAAGAGGACTTGATTGTAACTTTTAGTAACAAAAAGAAACTATAAAATATAATACCTCTTTAGAGAAAAAAAAACCCCAAACCTTAAATTTCAATTTGTTTTCATAGTAATCTTGGTAGTTTTGTGTTTTTTGTAAGCATAAAGGTTTTTTTGTCAATGTGCAAATACATGGCATCTATAGCTCACATGCTATTCTTCTGACTCACAGGCAGTATGTTAAATACTTCATTGTATTTTAGACAAAATTTAAAAACAGAAGTTGAAAATAGTCTTCTCATTCACTTTCTTGTTTGTATAGTAAGCCAAGGGCAGGGCTTCCTTGAATTTGAGTTCCTGGAACATTTGTCCTGTTAACCTTTTGGTTTTTTTATCCAGAATTTATGAATCACAAATGGGGGGAAATAAAAAAATTGGAAATTTAAGCAAAGTGGTTAATTTTTAAAATAAGGATCATATTAGATTCAAAATAGCACCTAGCTACTTGTTTCATTTTCACATGTCCATTTTTAACAAAGCTTTATCAACATGCATCAAGTGCTGCCGATGTTGATAATATATGAGAATAACTTGACGTATGTATTCAGTGAAGACAGAAACAGTGATTAAACACGAGAAAAAGAAATTTTGCATCTTGCATTGAGTGAGGAAATGCAATGAATCACATCTTCAATGTTTACTCTTAGGCCAAAGCCATTTTTGTTCAAAGGGGACCACAAGTACCCAGTGTCAAACCCTGAAAGTCCTGTCGTCATACTTTACGCTGAGATTGGCTCAGAGGATTTCTACAGACACCATAAGAGGCTTGTTTTAAAGGCTGAGGCAGGAGAAATCACTTATGTCCTCAGACACTATATTGCTGTAAGTATATTTGTGCATTCTAACGGAGGTATTTGACATGGAAAGAGTAACTGGCTTGGGTTTTAAATAAGAAAACTGGCCTAGGTTTGTTCCCTCTAAATTGACAATTGCATAATGTGTTGCTGCTTGACATTTATTTGGAATACTCAAAGTTTATTTTTTTATTACATGTAGCTGAGGAATACAGAATATTTTTAAATCTCCTGATTGTTTAAATAAGAGGATTATTTGATTTTACAAATGCAGAGTTAAACTCCAGATTAATTACAGACTTTAATCTAAAACCATGTTGCTACACCTATATTAGATTATAGGAAATAGACAGTCAGATCTTTCCACAGCCAGGCCACTTAGTTACTTGATATGAAAAGCAAAGATTAACCTTACGGTACCACTTTCAAATGAAAGGCATTGTTTCTGTAGCAATTTTATTACAGAACCATTTACCAGTCCTAGTGCAATTTGTCCTGGTTTCCGTCTCCCCCCCTAAATTGCCCGTAACCACTGGATTAGTGTTTAAAACTACATTTCAAAAGCTGTGAGAAATTTGAGCTATTTGACTTTTTTTTCCTGAATATTATTTAATGTGGCTAAAACTTGCAGTGTGGCAGCTAGTAGCCAGATTTCAACACACACAAAAAAAGCATCAGCTAGTTCACTTCTAGTGACATTTGCACTTTTAATAAAATAAAGTCATACATTGCATACACCACTTTCCTTTTTAAAAGTAATTTGTTTATCCGTGTTGGGAGGAGTAATCACATTCAAAATTAAGTGTATTACACAATAGATCTTGATACAGTTGCGTGATTCCTGTATACTTCAAAATACTTTTAACGAGTGATTATGTTTGCTTCCCATTGAAGTCAGAACTAATTATGCATCTCTTGAGTCACTGATTTACTCATTTTTTGTAATTCTCTGTTGTAACTCTTCAGTGAATGTTTCATTTTTGAACTTCACAGTTGGAGTTCCTTTCCTTCCTCTATCTGATTTGATGACACGATTCTATCCTGTTCTGCTTGGCTTACACTCTGAATCCTGAAAACATCGTTTTGTGTTCCTCTTTACTTCGATGTTTTCAGTGGTTTTTTGATTCATAGAGGTATCTTTGCTTGCTGAACTTGAAAAAGTTTTGTTGAAATACCATAGGAAATATATTACAGTACATTACTGCAGAATCACTCGTGTTTGTTTCTCACTTAAACATTACCAGTTATGTCTGAAATGTGTACCAGCTGGAGATTTCTTAGCTTTGGGAAATGGCAGTTTTTAATTTGTACATCAAAACAAAGAGTGGCAATATTGTTCTGCTCACTTTTTCTTACAGAATCCCAGTAAAGAAAAAGTCTACCTCTCTGGCTATGGTGTGGAACTGGCTATTAAAAGTACAGAATATAAGGCCAAGGATGATACACAGGTGAAAGGTGAATTACTATTTTAAGTATTTTAATGCAAACATTTTAATTTTGCAGAGCTAATTTTATATTTATTTTGATATGAATGACTGTTTGTCTGAATTGCAGATATTAGTCTTTCTTCAGCTCTGGAATCACTTCTCTTCCTCTCTCTTTTGGGATTATGTTCTTCATGAAGCGTATCCTTCCCATGGCAGTTGTCTTCCATCTTTGTGAAATGCCGGGCACGACAGAGTCATGACTGTGGACTAGGTCTTAGTCATGGCACTACTAATGCAACTAATTTTTTACCAGATAACCAGATTCTCTGTAGATGTAAAGCAATTCCTCTACCTTAATTTGCCTTAGCTTATCCACTCTCAGAGCAGAATGTGTTTCCTGTTCTTGTTTTTTTAGAAAACAGAACTTAGATTGCTGCATGTTTTTTTGCTTTTGCTGCTTTCTTTAGAGCACTGATCTCCGTTTTGCAAACTCTCATACATCTGCCAAAACTATTTTGTTAGGGTAATCCGCATGTATACTTTTTATTTACACACACATCTAAAACCCTAGAATTTCCTACTTTTATCTTAGACTTAAGTAAAAGAATTATTTTTTATTTAAATTGTAGTTCGAGATAACAGTTGTGGAGAACAGAACTCAGATTTTTAACTGGGTTCTTCAGGATTTTGCAGCTTTATCAGTTTCTAGATACACATTTAAACTCTTGACTAAGAATATTTTGCCACCATCTAGACACATAAAACCTTTGGTCTTTATTTGTAAAATTATTTAATTTTAAGAGAAACTAACATACTAGAGGAGATTTTCCAACTTAAGATTTTTATCACTGTGTGACAAGTTCCATTTATTTGTCATCAAAAAGTCATGTAAAAGCCCTGATACTGTTTGTAGAATACGACATTGGAGGCCTTTTGTCTCTTCAGGTGGGGAGAAAAAAAAGTAATGCTGGGGAAGATTTGTTATTTGTAAACTCATCAAGTTTTATACCAATGAGTAATCTAAATGCAGTAACTAAAATGTTTTACAAAATGGAGAAACTGTACTTGCATTGCTATGAGCTGCAAATAGCTCATAGATAGTAAGCTCCACATTAGAGGTATGTGGTTCTCATCCAGCTCTCCTCTGATTCTGTGAATGTTCTGACTGTGCAGTCTTTTATTCGTGCTTGTGCTGGTTTGGCTTGTCCAGAAGCAAACGCTCATCTAAACGGTCAGGGCCTTTAGTTAGACTTGAGCATAACACATCTAGATTGAAGATGGCTTGTGTCCAGCTAGCTAGGAGATTGTGTCAGTCTTTTGCACAGATTTCTTTTTGATGTTTAAGCCCAGAACTTGACTTTACTCCAATACTATTTTTTATCACGTATTTTGCGGCTAAAATCAGGGTTGTGTTCACAATTCAAGTTTAGCACTTACTCTACAAAGCTGGCATGTCCTGAAAGCTCCTAGGTCCTAGTGAATTCCTCTGCAATGACTAGGTCTCTGAGATTCCCACTCATCTTGAGCTTTTCCTTCTCAATAATACAACTTGATTTTATTTCAGCTGTTACGGTGTTCATTTGTAAAGGCAATGTCTCATGGATACAGATTTAAAAGTAAACGTGAAACTTGCCCTTTCTTTCTTCTTTTCTTACTGCAGTGTAGTTGTGTTAAACAAATCAAAATGAGTGTGAGAACTGTTTCTGAATAGCTTGGTACTAGTGTTCTTTTCTGTGTGTTGATAGGCACAGATGTGAATGCTACAGTAATAGATGAAAATGACCCTATTGATGAAGTGCAAGGATTTCTGTTTGGAAAACTAAGGTAAAACTCAGTTGTCAGTTGTTGGTCTTTGTCATATCAAGGAATTTGATGCAGAGATGCTGATCTTTTGCTTTGTTGTTATTTTTTAAATGTCCAAGTTATCCAGATGTGTTAGCAGCATATTTTTTCATATGTTAGTTTCTTTGAATTAGCAGCAGACTTGCTTATAGGAAACCACAGAAGTTGTTTTACCCTCATACCGTTTTAGGCAGTTGTATCCTGACTTGACAGAAGAGCTGAAAGAGCTTAGAAAACACCTCGTGGAAAGTACCAATGAAATGGCACCTTTGAAAGTATGGCAGTTACAAGGTAATCTGTATGAAGACTTTCAGTATTGTACTGTAAAAACCTGATGTGTTCTATGGGCATGGGGTTGCTAGTGGCTGCGTACAGTTGAGAGAGTTTGACTGTAAATTCCTGCACTGGAAAATACTGGATTTTCTAAAGCGCCTTTGTAGAGTCCTGTTGAAACAGCTGTTAGAAAGATTGTTTCACAGGACTTCTGAAATGAGGTTTGCTTTCTATATTGTGAAGTCAGTAAGCCACTTGCTCTTAAACTGACTACTTGTATGACCTGCTAAATGCAGAAAATCAAAGGAAATGTAAAGTTTCTTACCACAGTCACATTCTTGGTGTGGAAAGCTGAGACTTCTCAGGACCAAAGGCAAACTGTATTTCAAAAGCATCTGCATGCAACTCTGGCCTGTTTCCCTGGAAATCATCTGTAGAGGCCTGTGGAATGGCTTTTCATCCTCTGAAAAAAAAGAGTAATTCGAAATGCTGAATGTATGTTGTAGCCTATCCACCTATAGAGAATCTACCTATATCCAGCAGATGGCTGTTTATATTTCTAGCTTGTGAAACAAGTACCCAGACCCCTTCTCAAGGGCAGATCCTCCCACCTCAGCCAAAAAAACCAAGGTGATGGTCTGGACTCATTGAAGCAATCTGTAGACAGGATACGTTGGTTCATTTTGAAAGGGTTACTTACCTCAAGGTAACAAATACAAATTGAATACAAGGAAGATTTTAAAGAATTGTATCTAAAGGCGCAGATAGAAAATGAATTTTCAGAGGTAACAAATAGGCAAACGTTGGAAACTAAACTTAAGATGACTCTGCATTGACTTGTTTTCAGTTTAGTGTTCTTGACTTCTATTTTTTGACTTCTAGATTTAAGTTTTCAAACTGCTGCTCGCATTTTGACTGCTCCCCCTGTGGATGCTTTGATGGTCATGAAAGATCTCAGTCAGAACTTTCCTACAAAGGCCAGGTAACTTTAATTACAAGTTCTAGGATGCTTTCTTACTATCTTATTTCAGAGGAGAACCTGAGACAGGCAGCATTGGTTGGGTTAAAGTCCGAGCTTTCATTTAGCTGGAAGCAAACTCTGGGGAATGTTTATGCAGAGAAGTTCTTCGTCTGTGGTTACAAAGAGGGTCTTACAGTGTTTTTCTTGGATGGCAGTTGATGTGGACTGGTGGAAAATTTGACAGAACTACCCGTGCTATTTTGTTGTGAAATGCTTCTGAACCTTTTGCATTGAGTCCTCGAGAACTTATTGGATAGGTTTTCTGTTTGATGGCTTTAAGGTTTATCTATTCACTGGGTCCCACTCTTCAGGGATCCGCTTCGCCAAACAGCCCAGTCAATCTCATGTCAGAGACTGATGTGCAGTTCTGCTGGTTTTTTGCACTTTGTCGATCACTGTCTTCAGCAAATTCAAACTAATTTCAAGAAATTCAGTCAAAATCTGGTCTGCCCAACCAGTCTAGACATGTACTTTTTTTTGATAAATTCCATGACCTGGGTTGTGAAGATGGTATTATAAGAGCTCCTCCTTTTTGAGTAGGTGGAGATATACCTGAGAGTAAAAAGAAGCTGAATTCTGGTCTTACTTCCCACTAACTGATGTTCAGATTGTGCTATTTATAGCTTCTTAAGATTGCACTCTCATTGCGTTTTTTTAGTCAGGTCTGTGAGCGGTACTTGCCCGTTCCGTGATGACGCAATCACTAGATCCAATGTAAGGAAAGGAATGGGAATGCACAATGAGGAGTGAAATCCCGCTATTTTCTGTTGCCAGCCTCCACCTCTACCTTTCTGGCAGCTGCCCGCTTTTATTATGGTTAATGTGAAACTAGACACTGAGAGTTGGCATGTGCTTAACAATTTTATGTTCTGCTGAATTATATAAGAAAAAATAGTGCATCCTACTGTTCAGTGGTACCACAAAGCGCGAGTGCTTCCAGTTGCAGCTCTTTATACTAGGAAGACTAAATATATTGATATATAAGGTACAAAAAGTAGGATAAGTAGATATCTAATCTATCCATTAGATCAACAGAAAGAAGATTCACAGCATGATGTTTTTATTTCTATAGAGCCATAACAAAAACAGTTGTTTCTTCGGAACTCAGAGCAGAAATCGAAGAGAATCAAAAGGTAATGCTTCCAGAAAGTCATACAGTGCTTTTGCACTCATGTTTTAATACAAATTCAAGCTTTGAAAATAATGATTCTATTTAAAAGTTTACATTTTGCTCAAAATAATGACCTGGTATTTTCACATACAACTTTGTTGTAGTATGCATCTGGGAAGTAAAGAAGTGGTGGATTTTCAAACATGGATTAGGAACATAATTTAGTTTGTTCGCTCAAATATGAAAATATTGGTCAATCATTCTTTGAGTGAGATCACTGTGTTGGGGAATGATGATATGGAAATTTGTTCACAGAGCTGCCCCTACAACGTCAAATGTTCCAATAGTTATTTGGCAGGCACTTGTTAATGTATATGAAAGTGACATTCTGTTCAGTATCTGAACTCAAAATCTGGTAACTGTATTTATTTATCTTTATAAAATTAACTTTAAAACAATGAAAGTACTATGTTGTTAACCCTGGGGGAAAATGTTTATCTACAGAAAACATACAGCATAGGTGTTCTTAGGACTTCCATGCAGACTGTCTTAATATGATCTACAGGACAGGACTGTGTCAAAAATGAAGCAGTGGAAATGTTGATGTCTATATCACATCAGTCTTTACTTAGTTTCTGAGTTAACACACCTATAGTGATGATTTGCCAGCTAAAGTTTTATAGAGATGGTTAGTATGTGTCTTGTAGGACTGCATCTGCTGGGTGGCCTTCTTTCAGTCTCTGACCTAGTTCTTATTTGCATGGTATAGCAGATGTGTAAAGTCTGAATGTCATAGCACTGCTTGTCCTGGGTAACAGTTAAAAAAAGGCTGACTTCAAGTTACTGATTTTAGGTTTTGATTGTGTTCTGAACTTCTCAAAAGCAACTAGATATTAAAAGTGTGAGTGCTTTTTAGTGGAAACTAGAGTAAAAATGTAGTTACCTTTTTAGATTATTTTAAAATGTCTGACCTGGATGGAACGTAGCTTTTTAGAAAGCTATTGCTTGAAAAGCAAATATAGCATCTTCTTACCGTTCTAAGGATGCAGAAGAAATTTAGTTCTCATTACCTAATTTGAGATGGTGTTTAGGTATCTGAATTCATCAGTGTTTACAAGGAAGTCACAGGAAAAACTCAAAACCTGCCATGGCTTAGAATGATTCATACTATGTGGAGGAAATGGTTCCAATGTTGGTGCTTTGAGAGTGAAACTAGTGAAGGAAAAACATTTAACAGCTCTCCAAGTAAGTCTATGTGTGCTTTGAAACAATCATAAAAAAAACCAAAACACCACACCAGGTTATGAGGGACCCCTGGAGGTCACTGAGTAGGCTCTGGTGTTTGCAGAAAAATGTTTCAACAGCTCTGTTGTGTAACTGGCATTAGCAAAGCACTGAAAAAAGAACAGCCACTTGGGAATTTTGTACAGGCTTTTGTACAGAATTCTGTACAATTAAAATACACCTGGTAGTGCAGTGTGGATAGACTGCAAAATAAAAGTTTAAGATGCTAATAAAAACAAAGGCAAACAGCAACTTTTGCTATATGATCTACACTGATCTATTCATACATTTCAGTCTTACTTGGTATTAATAGGAAAAATACAAAGTATTTTAAGTACACACTTATGTCTTTGTTTAAAATCTAAGCAATGATATTTGGCTAGTCTAGTAGTAAATGGAAAGTTACCTGACATCTACTAACAAGTCCCCTGAGATTCTTGTTCTGAAAGAGAAATCCCTTGTTGTTTAATAGCGATAAAATCAGAAAAGAAGGGATGCGGTTTGACACTGTCGTCCGGTGAGGTCCTGGAAGGGACAAAGTGTAGAATGTAAGTGCAAGCTAAAGGTACCTGGTGGCTTTTCTGTTATGTGTTAGATCAGACTGGTCCACAGGTAAATCCATGATTTTGTGGATTCATTTTTATTCAAAGTATATCTAGGCTACTAGATCCAGATCTGGCTAGATCTAACCCTGCCCTTTAAAGCTCTTTTTTGCATGATTTGATTTGTGTAGATATTACTTGATAGTGAAGTTCACTGCTGTTAGTAAGTTATAGTTTACTATGTAATTATCCACAAAAATATACAATTTAACACTGCATGTACTCAGCTCTTCTCTGGGTGCTTTTTTATTTAATAAAATATGTAAAATCTTTCTGGTAAGATGCTGCTTTCCTGTTCTTGGTACTTCACATGGTACTTTGCTATTCCTCTGTTTGCTTTGCTCACATTCTTCATGATACTAGTGTTTTTAAATGTCCAAATACTATGTTTCTCCTTCAGTGTTCATCATGCCTCGTAATAGAATTTTGTAAGTGGTACTGCAAGACAAGAGGTATTGGAAGAAAGCAATGTCATTTTTCAGTTTTTAAATAGAATTTTTCATCCTACAGTTGGGAAATCTGCTTCAGGAGGACTGTGTTTTATTCACCTCTCCTGATTCAAAATTGTTCTCTGTGATGGTACCTCAATTCAGGGGCAAGTACCCATTCAAATAGGGTACTGCTTAGAGGTACCTGTCGGGAAGAGTTTTTCCATTTGTGTGCTGCCTGATTTTGGGGGAGATCAGACTACAGTGGCAGCTCATCTACTTTTCATTGATGAAATATCCACTAGTTCAGGACTTAATTGGTACGTTAGAGTAGTTAGTTTCACTAGCGAGTGCCAAGCAGTATCCAGCAGTTTAAGTCTGTTCTGCCCAAAACTGCATGTTAAAGAGCTAAGCCAGGTAACTGGATGCTCTTTGTCTATCTACTTTGTGGGCTGTCAGCTAAAAAAAAATTAAAATACTTCTGTCATGCATTTTTAATTATTTCCTCTGAGTAGATTTAAGGAGTCTACTCAGGGATTTTCCAATGCACTACTGAATCATGTAGAAAGAAACAAATAGAAGTCCGATTTATGTATCTATGCACTAAATAGTTTCAGTTGTTTTTTCCTTTGGTATGGCTATGTACACGAAGTCAGGAAAGATTGTAGTTGAGAAGTGAAGTAATGCAATTTGTAATGCATTAAGGGAGATAAATGACACATTAAACTCTCTAGTGATTTTTTTGTTTTCTGTGCAGAGCATTCTTCTAATGGCCTTCTACTTACTTTCAGTATTTCAAAGGAACATTAGGATTGCAACCAGGAGATTCTGCCCTGTTCATCAACGGACTACTTATTGATTTAGACACTCAGGACATATTTAGGTAGGAATGTTTTCTTTTTCAGAATAATTGTATCCTGTTTAGGAGCTTGTACCCTGCTTCTGCATGGATAAAAAAATCATTTAGACAGTTTTGAACCCTCTTCACAAAGTCTGTATCTAGACTAGGTTTACTTTTTAAGTACTGGAAAAAGCAAATCATGGTTCCTTCTCTTACGCAAGTGCATTTCTAACAAAAAAGCTGATGTGAAAACTGCAATCCTCTTGAAGACTGGAATGGGAAGTCACGTTTCTACTTGTTCTTTTGATCTGTGCTGTGATCAGCAAGATATTGGTCTCCAGGACTGTCAACATACAGGTTTTATTCTGAAGGTAGTAGACTGATTCTCAAAGGGTAAACCATGGTAAATTTTCCATCTGAAAACTACCCTGTATCTTTGTCAAGATTTGTTTCAATAATGTGGAATTGAAATTACGTATGTATATCACGCTTTAGTTATCTTGATTTAATGTAGTTTTTCCTAGAAATACAATATAATTGAATAGGTTTAAGTTATGTCAAGTTTCTTAGGACAGTTAGAAATAGGTGATAAATAAGAAGTAATGCATAGACATGGCAGACGTGTTTATACCTTTCATCTGCTAACCCTTAGGATAACAGCAAGTTATTTGCTGTGTCTTTAAAATTCAGCAGCATTTTTTCTTTTCCTTCCAGCTTGATTGACGTGCTACGCAATGAAGCTCGTGTTATGGAAGGCCTGCACAGCTTAGGAATTGAGGGTCTTTCCTTGCACAATGTTCTGAAATTGAACATCCAGCCATCAGATTCCGACTATGCTGTGGACATCAGAAGCCCTGCTATTTCAGTGCGTACGGTTTTATATAAGTAGTATCTTACCTGCTGTTGGGCAGTACATTCTTAAGCTGTCAGGGGAACTTTTGTTCTTATCTCACAATCAGCTCTGAAACTGCAGTGAAGAAAAAAGAAAAGCTAAACTTTTTATTTATACAGTTCTCAATATAGTATCTGATTTTAAAATATTTTACAGTCTCAGACTAGAGCAGGAGGACCGTCAGTCATTTAAATGCCTTTATTTTTTCTTAGTGGATCAACAATCTTGAAGTTGACAGTCGGTATAATTCCTGGCCTTCCAATGTGCAAGAACTGCTGCGTCCCACGTTCCCAGGAGTGATCAGACAAATTAGAAAAAACTTTCATAATTTTGTAAGTAGTAATCTGACTAGAAATGAAATGTGCATTTTGTTTTTTCAACAGCAGGGTCATAAGCATTTGCAACTTACCTACATATATGCTGGATTCCCTGTCACTTAAATATCTTGAGATAGGATGCTTTTCGCAAAGGTTTTGTTCTACTCGTACTAGTAAGCTATGGCTGAGATTCGGAGATTACTGAGCATGATTCTCTGGCATCTATTAGATGCCAAAATTGCTTCATCAATGGAAAAAACTGTCATTTGACGAGTGAGAATTTGGTGCATTTCAACTTTGTGATAATACCGAAGTTGGTTAATGAAATGCCTCAAATTTGTTAATTAGTATCTTCTTAACACGGTTAAGACCAACTTCGGTTGTTTCAGTTAGAAAGCTTTCTTGCACCAAGACTTCAAAACATGATCAACAACCCTCAGCTTAATCCTGGTTGTCCTTTTAGTCTCCAGGTAAACTACTTAAGGTTAGATCTAGTAAGGAGTTTGTAAATTCTGTATTGTAACTCTTGTCATGTGGCAGAGAGACCCTATAGAGAAAGGGACTCCTCTGATTAGCGGCAAATAGGGATTTGAACCACCTCAAGCTGTGGGAGCACTGAAGTGTTACGTTTTTCTCTGGAGTTCAGTACTTCTAACATTGAAATTATTAAATGAAAAGGCAATGCTTGGCATGAATCAAGGGCCCTAAATTCATTCTGAATGGCCCAGTTCTGCCTCGGTTTGGGCTTGCTTTGCAAATATCTTAGCAGCATCAGCTCTCCAGGGGGTTAAGCAGAGCAATGCTGTGTTCCTCAATTCTGACAAATGCCTGTCTCCCATGCACATCTTAACGGGTGGATTTGTGTACGTGCAGAGGCAGCAGCCTAGATGCTAGGGTATACTGAGGTAAAGCTGTCAAGTATGTAAGGAGTCTGGTCTCTTCTGGTTAAAGGAGTGGTTTAGACTGGATATTTTAGATAATGGACTTAAAGACTTTAGAAGAAACTATTATTTAGTGGGCCTCATCTCCCTGGCAGTATGTAAAGTAGGACTGATGATAATTTTGCACTGAGACATGAATGAAGCTATCTCTAATCAAAACCCCATATCTTGACTTTTGGAAAGAATAGAAACTTTTCATTTGCAATTTGTATACAGGTGCTGATAGTAGATCCTGCTCACGAGGCCACAGCAGAACTACTGAATGTGGCAGAGATGTTCTTCAGTAACCACATCCCACTGAGGTAATCGCTATGTTTTAACTGGAATTTTTTGACGTCAGTTTTGGTTTTGTGACTTTTGCAATTGCAAAATTCTCATTGCTAGGACACTGTAGAAGTGTTACATATCTTGTATTGGTGGTTGGGAAGGGCATTTACTAAATACTGTTTCTTATTTAAAATTTTTTGAATATAACTTTCGCTACTAGCAAAACAGAGTTCAGTTTCTGTAACAGTCCAAAAGAAAATTAAAAGTAAATACTTTGGATGAAAGATAGATGGAAAGCAAGATATTCTGATGGACTCACCATTAGAGATTGTATGTCCTAAGTTTGATTTCTGGCTGCTCTGCTCAAAATTTTATCAGTCTATTCCAGAAAATGCCTTTGTCTAAGATGATTATCATAGCTGACAGTTGTAAGAAGAGTTGATTGTTTATTAGTAAAATAGATTCATGATCTGGGGATTTGTTTGGTTGCAGGATAGGACTAGTCTTTGTGGTTAATGACTCAGACAATGTTGATGGACTTCAGGATCCTGGTGTTGCCCTCCTTAGGGCATACAATTATGTGGCACAAGAAATGGACAATAATTATGCTTTTCAGACTGTCATGTCTGTAAGTATTCATTTAAAAGGGAAATTAATGTTTTAGTATTTTCCATGTATGTTAATGTGCTAATATGTAGATAATGGAATAAAGTTTACATTGACTCAGGTTGTACCACACAACACGTTTCTTTGTGAAGTGCTTCTGACCTAACTTCAACAAGTGAGACTAGATGTAAATGTGACAATGCTTTTCAGACTGTCATGTCTGTAAGTATTCATTTAAAAGGGAAATTAATGTTTTAGTATTTTCCATGTATGTTAATGTGCTAATATGTAGATAATGGAATAAAGTTTACATTGACTCAGGTTGTACCACACAACACGTTTCTTTGTGAAGTGCTTCTGACCTAACTTCAACAAGTGAGACTAGATGTAAATGTGACACTTAACACTTATGTTTCTTTGTAAAGTGCTTCTGACCTAACTTTAACAAGTGAGACTAGATGTAAATGTGACACTTAACACTTTTGCACCTTTTTCTGATCCTGCCTCTTTGCTTATTCTGTAAATCAGTTCTAAACAGCTGTATCCTTTCAATATTATAATTTGTTTTCAACAGTTGCTGCTGCATACTTTTGCCAAATCAATCAGTTCTAAACAGCTGTATCCCTTCAATATTATAATTTGTTTTGAACAGTTGCTGCTGCATACTTTTGCCAAATCAAAGAATAATATAGGTACTAGTAAATGCATTTTCACTTGTGGTTTGACACTGTACAAATCAACAAGCTGGGGCATACTGTGACATTAAACTGCTGGTGACTTGAAGGCAATTACTTTTATTCTCTGTTTTGGGGGGTATGTATTTGTAAGTCAAAGCAAAATCTTGTGCTTTCAAGAGGGAAACAGTTACTTACTTTACATGTGAGGTCTGTTGTATTGTTTATAAGCATGTCTTGAGTTCTGAAGGGAAGGGTAGCTCTTTGGATATGCTTTACTTAAGCCTTTTTTCCCCTAAACACTACTTTTCCCCCCTCAAATACCTTTTCTAATTAAAGACGCAAGTTACTATTTAAAGACATACATGATATTTACCACCTTCCAATCTAACTGGAAAGGCTACAAGGTAAAGCAAGATAATTCCAAGAGCTACAAGTGCTTAGGAGCTGTTATTGCAGCTAATGAACATACGTTTTGCAATGTGGCTGTTAATGCCTTATTATAATTACTGGAATACAGGTGACAGGTCAGCTTACCTTTGATAAGGACAGAAGCTTTACAGTTGCAGCTGTAACTTGTATTTGTATCCCCCTTTCAGATATATAACAAAGTAAAAACAGGAGATCAGCTGAAAGTGGAGCATGTGGTCAGTGTTCTTGAGAAACAGTATCCTTATGTGGAAGTCAACAGCATTCTGGGAATGGATTCTGCCTATGATCAAAACAGAAAGGTAAGAATTCATGAAATAGAGCTTTTTTCACCTTTTTTGCTTCAACATCATTTTGAAAATAGTTACGTACAACTTCTCGATCCAATTCTCTTACTAACCAGGTAGCTATTTTGTTACCATATTGGGTGACTTTTAGTAATACTTTAATAAATATTTATGTTCAGCACAAAGCTTTATATGATATACATAATATATATAATATATTGTAATATGTATTTTAAAAAATCTATATGGATAGTACCAGAACCAAGATAACTTGCTTGCGACTCATAAGTCATGCTTTCATTGTGGTATGCAGACTTTATAGTAGAGTTTAAAACTGCTTGGAAAAAATCAAGGTGATGGAACGGTTCATAAGAAAACCAAGGAGCTTAATGTCTGAGAGAGATTGGTGTGGGTTTTCTTTATCGGTATTTGAATACTGTGTGGGATAAAGTAATCGTGATGAATTCAAAATGCCTTTCCTATAGCAACGCATTCAAAAATCTTCCTCAAATAATTCCCTAAAGGTATTTTTAGGGTTGATACTTTTCTGTATGGAGAAAATGGGGAGAGCAAGTCACTACTGGATCACTTATATGTGAGACGAAGCAGATTTTATTTGAGGTTCTATAGGGGGATGTTTATATTTTTGTTGAGTATTCTAAAAGAAAGAGTGAAAATACTGTCTACAATAGCTCTGTAACATGATACTGCCTACATCTGTAAATGTAAAGAATGCAGTCAGGGTTACATGAATAGGGTCATAGGCACACACGCTTTCCATCTTGTGATGTAGGAAAGTAAAGGGAAAAGCATTTTGAGGATATCAAAACCCATAAATAACAGACATTTTTGTATGACAGGAGAGGCCTTTTCAGTTTACATACCAGACACCAAATCGAACCCAAACAAAACAAAACCAACACCTCCCTGACACCATTCAGCATAACCATATCTCAAAACATTGCAAAGCCTTTGCATAAGGAAGGAAGCCTTTAGAAAGAGCTTATTTCCATATAAAGGACACAAGTGAAAACACTGAGCACTTGTTCATGTGATCTGACCTTTGTGATAACTGTGTCCTTAAGAGGTCTTGAAAACCTCTAAAGAGCAAGGTTCTTTAACAAGAACCTCTAAACAGTAGAACCTGATTAACTTCTGTCCTTAACACAGTATCGATAATGATGGTGTGTTTTGCAGTGGTTAGATGAAATGGGGAAATTAGTCCTGACACAATAACCCCCTGCCCCACAAGTAAATGTTTTCTCACAAGTTTAAGAAACATGTTCTTAAAAAAAACAAAAAGAAAAAACCTCTCCCCTGTCTTACGTTACCATCACTACTTGTATTGCATTTGCTTCTATATGCAAAGTCAGATTTCCTGTTGTGCATTTTTTGCTATTACATGAAAGTGCTCATTGGAATTAATTTTTTTACAGTATGAACTTAATGGAGTATTTTGCACTTCTGTATTATAAAGTAACTTATTTTGCTTTGAAACTCTGGAAGACAGGGACATCTCATGCATGTACGATACAGAAAGTGTCTTATGTGCTGCGTAAAATTAATATTCTCTGGATCATATAAAAGGTGGAAGGACATCATAGTGTGTTTAGCATAGACCTGTGTGATATTGCATGGAAACGTTATGAAGCCTTGTGGTAATGGGCTGACATGTTAAAGATACTTCTTTCCCTGTATTTAGGCAGCAAGAGGTTACTATGAGCAAACGGGTGTAGGTCCTCTCCCTGTTGTGCTGTTCAATGGAATGCCTTTTCAAAAAGATCAGCTGGATCCTGATGACCTAGAAACCGTGACAATGCACAAAATCCTGGAAACCACAAGCATCTTCCAGCGAGCTGTGTACTTGGTAGGTGCAAAGTTCAGCTGTGACTTGAGAGACACAAGATTTGGAAAAACTGACTCAAAAGTCGCTGAATATATAATACATAAGACAACTTAACTTGCATGGAAGTTTCTTGGTTTAGTTTTTTGGGTGGTTGTTGGTTGTTTAGTTTTTGGTTGGCTGGGTTTTTGGTTTGTTTGTTTTTGTTTTTTAACTTACCTAAGGTAAATATACATGTGAAATAATGAATATTGCTTCTTTCTTCTTCTTTCCTTCAGGGTGAATTATCTAATGACCAAGATGTGGTTGAATATATCATGAATCAGCCTAATGTTGTTCCAAGAATTAACTCAAGAATCTTAATGCCTGACAGAGAGTACCTAGACCTCACAGGAATGAGTAAGGGATGCTTTCAATTGCATTAAACCTGAAGTACCTGAGTCAAGGACTTGCTGTCCCAACAGAAAGCTCTGGTGGCAAAGTATTAATAGCACCCAAGTAATGTTCTAGCCCTGGTGCTGGGGGAGATGTTATGTACAATAGCAACATTAACGTCTACAGATTTTTCAAAACAGGAATTTGCTTTGATTTTATACAAACCTTTACGGGAATATGACTTATGAAGTTGAGAAATTAGCAATGCTAGCAAAAGCCAAGAACAGTCATATAATGCATAAAGCAACAGCTTGTTTCTTATTTCTAACCTTCTTTTGAGCAGAGACTGACAGTCATTACTTAAGATGTAGCAGGACTTTTCATGGCTAAATGTATTAATACCTGATACAGTGACTCTGCAGTACAATGACAGTATTGCAAAACGCTTGTACAACTACCTTTTTTGAGTTGCCTGAAAAATAGTAACACAGTGGCTTCTGTGTTAAATCTATATGTATATATAGATTTATACTATATATG